TAAAATTGTTGTTGTTGTTGGTAAAAAGAATTTCACACAACAAAAATGTCTTAAATACTTACGACGTGGTGAATTCTTAAGGACACCGCGATAATCATCGGAACGGGCTACAACATTAAGTTCAGTGGTAGCAATAGCTTCACCCACAGAGTTACGGGCAATAACTTCCACTTTGCCGGTATCGTATTGTCTGGTCTTGGGTATATCCATGTGGAACATACCATCGTTAGTAAGCTTATAACGAGAACCCTACAGAAAAGAAATACATTAAGTTCTGATATTTACTACTACTTTATCGTTTCTTAAACTTACATGAACCACAGTGTGACCATTGATGAGCCACATAACTCTTGGACGTGGATAACCAGTAACGCGTACACAGAATCGTGCAGGTTCGCCCTCTTCAACGGTTTGTGGTTCCAATTTGCTAACAAACACGGGTTTCGATCTAGGTCTTGCATCGGGATCAACTTCCTCGGGAACACTAAAAACCAACCCAATCATATAATAAATTTCCCAAATTAATATTTCCCTTCTAAATACTTACACTTGCCAAGAGGCTTCCATTTCACGAATACGATCAATACTATGCATATGTTTGGGCAATTGAGAATCGTAGACAATGCCTGGTTTACCAGCAACCTTAATGAAAGCTCTGGTCTCATCCTTGCCATACAAGTTGGTAGCACGGCAGACATATTCACCGCTATCTTCGGGATAAACCCAGCCAAAGTTCATGGCTACATAACCGAAATCATAAATAGGTTGGAAGCGGTTCTCTGTTTAAATAAAAGAAACCATTAGTTTTTTTGTCACTTAAAAATCCTCTTTACCCCAAAAAAATACTTACTGTACAACAATGGTTTGCCATTGAAGAACCATTCGACCTTCATATTGGGATCACCCACTGGTGCCAATTGACACTCAAACTTGGTAACAGCCATTTCGGTGAGATTGGTTTGATCCTTGATTTGAGTAACAAAACGAGGTGGTTGCTTGCGATCAGGATCGAAAAGATCATCCTCGGTTAAGTGCACTTCTGAAGTATACTTCTTAATGGTGGCTTCCATTTGAGTCAGGGTCTCGGAACGTTTCATGCCACGTGGTACTTGATTTTGCAACATAATCGAAGGCAATTGCTTGCAGGAAATGGTAGCCTTGGTGCGATCTTCACCGTATTTGTTATAAGCACGGCATACATATTCACCGGAATCTTCAGCATAAACATACAAAATATCCAATGATACGAAACCCATATCCACAATGTTTCTATATCTGTGACCGGATGGCAAAAGCTTGCCATTGCGGTACCATTCAATGCGCAAATTGGGATCGTTCTTGGGTTCAACTTGGCACTCGAAACGTACTGCTTCAGCTTCTTCAACAGTCACTGAAGCAATTTCGGTAATGAACTTAGGTGGTCCATATTCGACCTCTTCCTGTTGTACTACTTCAGGAATGCGACCACGATCTAATTCTCTCAATTTTTCGGCAGTCATGCCATCAGGCAATTGAGTATCATAGACAATGTTGCCCTTACCCTTGCAGGTGACCTTGGCAGTGGTGGTAGCAACGCCCCATTTGTTAACGGCACGGCAGGTGTATTCACCGGAGTCGCGAGCATATATATAATCAATATCCAAAGCAATGAAACCAAAGTCATTCAATTGATGTACACGAGAACCTGTAGGCAAAGGACGGCCATTATAGAACCATTCAATGCGCATAGTGGGATCACCCACCGGTTCAACGCGGCAGTCAAAGTGAATGGGACCACCTTCTTGAACATCCAAGTTATCCTTGATTTCTTCAATAAACTTGGGTGGGTTGGGTTGTTCTTCATCGACCACGATTTCCTCTCTCCTGTGCATGCTTTCTTCGAGTTTCTGCAAGCTTTCGGTACCGGTACGGAAGTTGGAAGGCAATTGTGGTTCCATGACAATGCCTTGGCGACCCTTAACCTGAAGTTTGCACGAGACAGTAGCTTCACCATGTTTATTGGTGGCCTTGCAAGTGTACAAACCAGAGTCGCGTTGATAACAGCCGGCAATTTCCAAAATTACGAAACCAAAATCATTGATAGTCTTAATGCGGGAACCGGCCCACAAGGCTTTGCCGTTATGGAACCAATCGACACGCATACTGGGATCGTTGATAGGCTGCAAGCGACATTCAAAGTGAGCCAATTGATTTTCATTGATGACCATATCGAAGGGAGTGGTAATGAATTCTGGTGGTTTACCGGTATCATCTTCGGGAGCGAATTCAGTGCTGCGTACACCCAAACCTTCCAATTCGGCAATACGATCAATGGTGCCTTCCATACCCTTGGGCAATTGGGATTCCATGATGATGCTGCGTTTACCGGCAATCTTCATGGTGGCAGTGGTTACAGCTTCACCGTACTCGTTAATAGCACGGCAAGAGTACTCACCAGAGTCTTCGGGATATACGGGTGAGATTTCCAAAATGACGAAACCAAAGTCGCAGAATGTGCGGAAACGAGAACCGGCCTTCAAAGGACGACCATTCCAGTACCATTCAACTCTGAGTCTAGGATCATCGGGGGTGTTACACGAGCTTCAAAGTGGCAATTTTCACCTTCGCGCAAATTGTCAATGTTCTCCAAAGGTACAGTGAACACGGGTGCCTTACCTTTGGTTTCTTCTACAGTTTCGTCACGTGTACGTACCATGCTGTATTCCAAGTTGGCAATCTTTTCCAAGCCACCTTCCATGCCGCGTGGCAATTGGGAATCCAAAATCAAATTGGCCTTGGAAGAGCAGGTGAGAGTAGCACGAGTTACATCTTCACCATATTTGTTAACAGCACGGCATTCGTAAACACCGGAGTTTTCTTCATAGCAGTACAAAATATCCAAAATAACAATACCGAAATCGTGGAAAGTACGGAAACGATGGCCATGGGGCAATTTCTTGCCATTGAAGTACCATTCAACCTTAAGATCGGGATCGGTGATAGGAGTAAGACGAGCTTCAAAGTGAACACTTTGTCCTTCAACCAATTTGGTGACATCCTTGATGTGGGTAATGAACTTGGGTGGTTCAGCGACAACAGGGGCAACAGCCTCTCCTGGCAATTGTGGGCACTCCAATTCCCTAATTCTTTGCAGAGAATCGGGTTGCAAGCTGTCGTAGAATACACCTCCACGACCACGGCAGTTAAGAGTAGCTCTGGTAAAGTCTTCACCATATTTGTTGTAAGCACGGCAAACATATTCACCGCTGTCATGATCTTGCAAATAGGAAATATCCAAGACAACATAACCGAAATCGGAAACGGTCTTAATACGGTTGGAGTGACGCATAAGCTTGCCGTTGTGATACCATTCAACCTTAAGTTCAGGATCATTGACAGGAATAAGAGTACACTCAAAGTGAGCAGATTGACCATCCTTAAGACCTTCCAACGATTGAATTTGGGAGGTGAAACGAGGTTTCTGGCCACGTGGCTTATCAACACACTCAAGAGTGCAGCTGATTTCAGCAGAACCGTATTTGTTGGTAGCACGGCAAGTGTAGGTGCCGGTATCTTCGATCTTGGTTCCTAAAATTTCCAAAGCAACCATACCGAAAGCATAGATGGTGCGGACACGGTGACTAGCTTCAAGTACTTTGCCATTGAAGAACCATTCAATAACCATGCTTTGGTCACCGGTGGGCACGAGGTTGGCTTCATAATGAGCAATCTCGCCCTCACCAACATCCGAGATGTTGACGAATTCAGTAGTGAAACGAGGAGCCATACCTTCTTCTGGTTTTTCGGGTTTGCTGCCGTCCTTGCGCAAAGATTCTTCCAAATCTTGAATTTGTTCGAGACCTTCAGCACCCTTAGGATGTTGGGTTTGTTCAATGATGCTATCCTTGCTGGAGCAGTAAATGGTAGTGGTGGTGAAAGCTTCACCCGATTTGTTGTAGGCCTTGCAGGTGTAAATACCTTGATCACGTTCATAGACCTCGATGAGATCCATGGTAACAAAACCAAATTCACTTGTCATCTTGAAACGAGAACCGTGTTGCAACAATTTGCCATTGAAGTACCATTCAATGAATAGATTAGGATCTTCTTTAGGTTCAACATTAGCTTCCAAATGTAGAGGTTGAGCTTCGGACAAGTGGAACTCAGCTTGCAAAGGTCTAGTCCAGACTGGTGGAGGATAGTGAGTTTCAGGTTTGACAACTTCGCGGTTGTAACGATTAGCCAATTCTTCTTCGGTTTCCTTAACAGCTTCCAAACCAGCTTCACCTTGAGGATGTTGAGTGTCCAAGAACATGATCTTACCACTTGTGCACTTGAGTGTACCAGATGTAGTGGCAGAACCCTTGCTATTGGTAGCCTTGCAAGTGTAGACGCCACTGTTTTCAGCATAAAGGTTGGACATATCCAAGGCACAGTAGCCAAAGTCATAGATGGACTTGAATTTGGCAGCAGCTTGCAATGGTTGACCATTGTAGAACCATTCAATTTTCATGGTAGGATCACGAGATGGTTCAACATTACATTCGAAGCGGCCGTTATCGCTTTCCTTACAATCGATATTGTTCAAGTGAGTAATGAATACTGGAGTTTCGTAAACTGGTTCTGGAGCTTCGGGGCGTCCAGGTTTGGGTGCTTCAAGTTCTCCAATACGAGGCAAAGAATCAGGATGCAAAGATTCAGCTTGCAACCAATGACGATCTTCAATCTTGAGTGAGCAGGTGGAAACAGCTTCACCCATTTGATTGGTGGCCTTGCAAGTGTAAATGGCAGAGTCGTCGGCACGCAAGCCATTGATGGACAAAGTGACCAAACCAAAGTCAAAGGTGCTGCGAATACGAGAGCCAGTGGTAAGTGAAATACCATTCTTGAACCATTCAATGCGCAAGTTGGGATCAGCACGAGGTTCAACTTGAGCTTCCAAAAGTACGTGTTGACCTTCACTGAGTTTGTCGAAGCTCTGCAAATGAGTTGTAAAGACTGGAGCTTGTTGAGGTGTTGTATCGACAAACATTTCAGGAACACGATTCATGGAAGCTTCCTTTAGACGGACAGCTTCCCAAGATTCAGGAATCATTGGTTCACCGATAATGTTGGATTTGGTCTTAATCTTCATAGCAGTAGATGATACAGCTTCACCGGCAGCGTTGTAAGCACGGCACATGTAAACACCAGCATCTTCGGGTACTACAGAGCTAATATCGAGTGTTACGAAACCAAAATCGTTGGTAGTTCTCAAACGAGAACCCATCTGCAACTCAACGCCATTGATGTACCATTCGAATTTCAAAGATGGATCGCCAACTGGTACAACACGAGCTTCAAAGTGAGCATGTTGTCCTTCCCACAATTCAGAGGGACCAGTAAGAAGTTGAGTGAAAATAGGCTTCTCAAATGCACGTTCTGGTTCGACGGGGCGAGGTGCAGATGGACGCTCCAATTGATGAATACGGCTGATACTGTCGGGATGTTGAGTATCCATTTGGATACTAGCTTCAGAAACAACGCGCATAGAGGCAGTGGTAACAGCCTCGCCAAGAGGATTGACGGCACGGCACATGTAAACACCTTCGTCTTCCTTGCGAATGTGAGAAATGTCCAAAGAAACAAAGCCGAAATCGTGTTGTTTGGTAATACGAGAACTGTCTTCAATGACCTTTTCGTTACGGTACCATTCGACCTTAAGATTGGGATCACCAACTGGAATCAAACGGCACTCGAAGTGAGCAGTTTGATGTTCATTAATGCGGTCAATGTTTTGTAAGGGTTGAGTAAATACGGGACGTTGTCTAGTACCAGGTGTTTCCAATTCAGGACGTTGGAATGGAGCGGTCGATTCCAATTTACGAATCTTTTCCAAACCTTCAGGATGTTGTGTTTCGGAGATGATAGTACCACGAGCAATAACACGTAAATTGGTCGATGATACGCATTGACCCAAAGCGTTAACGGCACGAACGGAATATTCACCAGCATCTTCAGCTACGGCATGGGTAATATCCAAAGCGACATAGCCGAAGTCAAATGTGATATGGAAACGAGAAGCTGATGGCAAAGGTTTTCCGTTGTGATAGAATTCAATGCGCAAATTAGGATCATGTACAGGTTGTACTTGAGCTTCAAAGTGAGCGGTTTGTCCCTCGTAGATTTCGGTGGTACCACGCAATTCAGCGGTGAAATGTGGTGGGCTAATGGGTTGATCGCTAACCTCAGTACGTGTTGTAACTACCTTGGATTCGAGTTTTTGAATCTTTTCCAAAGCATCAGGATGTTGAGTATCCAAAATCATGCTGCGGCGGTTCAAAACACGAACATTGCAGGTGTTGACAGCTTCGCCGAGCAAATTGGTAGCCTTGCACATGTAAGTACCAGTATCCTCGCCATAGACGTAGAGAATGTCCAAGGCAACATAACCGAAATCATGTGTTGTTCTGTAACGATGGCCCAAAGGCAATTGTTTACCATTGCAGAACCATTCAATCTTCAAATTAGGGTCATTAATTGGTTCGACACGGCACTCCAAATGAGCGTGTTCGCCTTCCTTGAGATGTTCCAAATTGCTAAGAGGAGTTAAGAAGATGGGCTTTTGACCCTTCTCTTCAACTTCGACCTTCTTGGGTGCAGCATAGCTTTCCAATTGACGAATCTTTTCCAAACGCTCGGCATCAAGAGTGTCGAGATCCAATGTCTTATTTGCTGTAAGAAGTTTATAATAAAATGTTAATAATTGTTCATGATTTATAATTTTTTTGTATGTTAAAAAATTACCTGTTACGTTTACAGCACAAGTCGTGACAGCTTCCCCTACGGCATTCTTGGCCTTGCACATGTAGGTTCCTGTATCTTCAGCATGGGCATACAAGATGTCTAAGGCAACAAAGCCAAAGTCATAGGTGGTCTTGAAACGATGGCCAGTTTGGATTGGGATGCCATTGCAATACCACTCAACCTTCATGGTAGGATCGTTTACAGGTGTAAGAGTGGCTTCCAAATGTACGGGCTTGCCTTCATTGGTATTAGCATTACGCAAAGGACGTCCAAATTGAGGACGTTCAGTCATATATTGATCTTCTTCAACCTTGCGTTGGAAGCGAGACTCATCTTCCAAGTATTGAATCTTTTGCAAGGCTTCTTCATGTTGAGTCTCCTGAATGATGGATGATCTGGATTGTACATTCAAGCGAATGGAGTTAACAGCTTCACCCAAGTTGTTGGTAACGCGGCAGGTATATTCACCGCTATCTTCAGCGTAAACTGTTAAGATATCCAAAGCGGAGAAACCGAAATCGTAAGTGGTACGGAAACGGTGACCGGTATTTAATGGCTTGCCATTGTGCAACCATTCAACTTTAAGATTTGGATCAGGGTAAGGTTCAATACGGCATTCGTAGTGAGCGCTTTGTCCCTCAACCAAATTGCTGGGGCCAATAAGTTTGGTAACGAAGCGAGGAGCTTGAGTTACAACATATTCCTCTTCTTCACGGCGTTGGTAACGAGTATGATCTTCAAGTTGATGGATCTTGTGCATGGCAGCTTCATGTTGAGTTTCCATTTGGATGGAAGTCTTAGATTGAACAATCAATGAAGCAGAGGTGACAGCTTGACCCAGTTCATTGGTAGCACGGCATGTATAAGTACCAGAATCTTCTGGGTTAACATACTTCATGTTGAGGGCAACGTAACCGAAATCGTGCATGGTGGTAATACGATTGGAGGCTTCAATGGGTTGACCATTGCGCAACCACTCAACCTTCAAGTGAGGATCACCAACAGGAATCAAACGGGCTTCAAAGTGTACAGCTTGACCCTCAGCAACACGGGAATCACGTACAGGAAGAGTGAAAACTGGAGCTTGAGAAATAATTTCCTCCTGGGCACTCATGCGTTGACGTTTGTTGCTATCTTCCAAATGTTGCAAACGAGGCAAAGCACTTTCGTGTTGGGATTCCAAGTAGATGGACTTCTTGGTGTGAACAACAGCCACAGCAGAGGTGATGGCTTCACCTACAGCATTATAGGCACGGCAAGTGTAAGTACCGGCATCTTCAGGCAAGCAGGACATAATGTCCAAAGCTACAAAGCCAAAGTTGTTGGTTTCGGTGAAACGAGAACCGGACTTCAAGGGCATGTTGTTGTGATACCATTCAACACGCATAGTAGGATCCGAAACTGGAATCAAACGGCACTCAAAGTGGGCACGTTGATTTTCCTTGATTTCAACATTCTTCAAGGAAGTAGTGAAGACAGGAGTTTGTTTAGTGGACTCATCGACTTCTTCACGGCGAGTGTACCGGGAACGATCTTCCAAGTAATGGATTTGTTCCAAACCAGCTTCATTTTGTGTAACAGTCACAATTTGTTCCGAGCTGCGGCATTGCAATTGCACTTGAGTTTCATCAGAACCGATCAAGTTGACAGCACGGCAAGTGTAAACACCAGAATCCTCGGCAATAAGATCAACAATATCCAAGGCTACATATCCAAAGTCATGGATGGGACGGAAACGGTGACCCACAGTGATGGGACGGCCATTCTTGTACCATTCAACCTTAAGATTGGGATCGGTAACAGGCTCAATCTTGCATTCAAAGTGAGCATGACCACCTTCACGCATGTTATTAAGACTCTTGGGTTGGGTAAGGAAACGAGGACGAATGTTTACTACTTCTTCGTCGACAAATTCGCTACGGCGATAGCGGGAAGAGTCTTCCAAGTAAGCAATCTTTTGCAAACCAGACTCATTTTGAGTTTCCAAAATCAAATCATTCTTGGCAATAATGCGTACGGAGCAAGAGGTAACAGCTTCGCCCAATTGATTTGTGGCTTGACAGGTATAAACGCCAGAGTCAGCAGCATAACAACCCAAAAGATCAAGGGCTACATAGTCGAATTCATAAGCTGGACGGAAACGGTGACCAGTCTTGACGGGCTTGCCATTCACGAACCATTCAACACGCATGCTGGGATCACCAACAGGTTGCAAGCGGCATTCCAAATGAACATTGGTACCTTCCATGGTTTCAATGTTGTGCAAAGCTCTGGTGAATTGAGGAGCTTGCATGACGGTGATTTCCTCCTCCATATGATGACGGCGGCGAGAGGCATCTTCCAACATTTGAATTTGCTCCAAAGACATTTCATTCTGAGTTTCGGTAACAATATCAGAACGATCAATAACACGAACACACGATGAAGTGTGAGCTGAACCCAAGTGGTTGGTGGCACGGCAAGTATATTCACCAGAATCAGCAGATGTAGCTTGAATAATGTCCAAAGCTACAAAGCCGAAATCATAGTAAGTGCGGAAGCGAGATCCTACAGTTATGGGACGACCATTCTGGAACCACTCAACACGCATAGTGGGATCACCCATAGGTTCCAAACGGCATTCCAAATGGATGTTCTTACCCTCATGGATGGGTTTGGGGTCAGACAGTGGTTGAACAAAGATGGGTTTAGATTTCGAAATTTCTTCGATATCATAGTGAGGCTCAACGAATTGCTTGTTTTCCAAGTGTTGAGTTTTTTCATACAAACCACGGTGCATGCTAGATGTGTCAATACTGGAACGAGCTGTAAGGGGAATTAGAATAATATCAGTTAGACTGTAGTATTTCGAATGAAATATAATACTTACTTTCGACTATCATCGTTCCTTGCAATTGAGCTTCACCTAACTTGTTTCTGGCAACAACGGTATAAACACCAGCATCCTCAGCACGTACTTGAGAAATGTCCAAGGCAACATAACCGAAGTCATAGTACATTTGAATAAGGTTGCAGCAGTAATGGCGCGACCATTATGATACCATTCGATTTTCATGCTCAAGTCACTTTGAGGCTCAACACGAGCTTCGAAATGGGCCTTTGTCCCTCGATAATCTTATTGGTACCCTTCATGGGACCAAGAAACGAGGAATTTTGAGTGATCTTAGTCTCTTCTTCCTCAGTGCGGCCGCGTAAGCGGGAAGAGTCTTCCAAATGTTGGATCTTCTCCAAACCACCGGATGTGAGAGTTCGGAAACGATTTTCCTTCTTAAGAGATGACGGTCAATTGGGCTGGGTAATATCTTGACCCATGGCATTGTAGGCACGGCAAGTGTAAGTGCCAGCATCGTAAATGGTAAGTTGCTTATGGTAAGAGCAACATAACCAAAAGTTAAAGAAGGTGGTGCTGCGCGAACTGGCTTCCAAAGGTGGCCATCCTGAACCATTCTACACGCATAGTAGAATCACCGGTAGGTTCCAAACGAGCCTCGAAGTGGGCATGTCCACCTTCACGCATATCCACTTGATTTTGAATTTTGATGTTTTGAATTGAGGTGGAGCAATTGGTTCGGGTGCCTCCTGAGCATGGCGACGTTGTTGAGACTGTCTATAGCCCTTCCAATTCTTCTACCTTTTCGATGTAACGCTGTTGCTCATGGAATACCCAAATCAGCGGGTAACTTGAGATCTGATATGTACGCGAATGGTAGATGAGCTAATGGCTTCACCCATGAGGTTGACAGCGCGTACAGTGTATGTGCCAGCATCTTCGGCACGCAAATGCAAAATATTCAAAGAGACATAGCCAAAGTTGAAAATAGCTGTAATGCGTGAACTGGCAGTAATAGGACGACCATCCTTGTACCATCTACACGCATGGTGGGGTCGTTGACTGGAGTAACTTGAGCCTCAAAGTGAACATTTTTACCTTCTTCGAATTCACCCAAATCCTTAAGAGGGCGATGAAGACAGGGGGTTGATTCATAAGTTCCTCGGAACTTTCTTGACGTTGATAACGTGAATAATCCTCCAATTGATTGATGTATTGCAAGCTGCTGGGATGTTGAGAAGTTTGCTCAATTGAAGGGCGTTGGGTAACGGAGAGTTGGCACGAGATTCTGCCATACCGGCAGCGTTGGTAACGCGGCACATGTATTCACCAGAATCGTGGGTCATAATGCTCAACAAATCGAGAGCAATGAACCGAACTTGAATACGGAGGTAGCACGAGAGCCTTTAAATAAAAGAAACGTAAGTTAAGTTCTCTGTTTAAAAAGATTATAAAGTGTATAAGACTTACTAGCTGCCAAAGATGGACCATTAAGGAACCATTTCTACGACCATGGTTGGGTCGCCAACAGGTTCAATACGGGCCTCCATATGAACTTTGCCACCTTCAACTTGTTGCACATTTTGTAGTGGTATAATGAACTGTGGCGGTGGGTAGACACGGTCTTCCTCACCAGGACGTAAATGAGGCTTAGCGCGTTCAACATGACGCAAATAAATAATTCTGGACCAGGTTGGGGCCTGTAAAGGAGTTTATAACATAGAAAAACTATTCGTTTGTTTGATTTTTTAACAAATACTTACTCTGGTTCGATAATCTTCGTGGGTCTTGGTAAATTAAGACGTCTCTGTTCGACGGGTGGTTGTTCTCTGGGAACTTCTACATAGAGTCTAGCACGGTTGGCTGTAGAACCGGCAATATTTTGTGCAGTACATTGGTACCAGCCAGCATCGGAAGCTTTAACACGTGGAATCTCCAAACAGGTAGCTCCACCATCAATGCCAATAAAACGTTCAGCGGTTGATGAAATTTGCTGACCATCCTTTTGCCAGGGTAATACGAGGCATAGGAGTACCTATGGCATTGGCGCTCATGGTAATAGGTTCACCCTCGCGCACAGTCATAGTGCTGAAGCGTTGAACAAATTGTGGTGCGACAACTTGTTCCTTCTCGAGCACATTTAACTGGGCCTCGATGGCAACCTCACCGGCCTTGTTGCGAGCCAAACATTGGACAGCGGCCGGCATCCAAGCGAGTGACATTGGTAATCATGAGCGAGTGGCTACCGGATTCGTTGACAAGAATCTTGTGAGCGGCATCATCGTTGACCTGGCGACCGTTGATGAACCAGTATACCTCAGGATAAGGATTGCCAGTAACACGGCAATCGAAACGAGTCATACGACCTTCGGTGATTTCGCGATCACCGTAGGACTTAACGAAAGTGGGTGGCAAAGCCTTGCCCGCTTCCAACTGTTCTGCCGTAGCATCAACAGGTTTTGGTTCATGGGCCGACTCAGCAGCAGGCTCAACGGCCAACACAGCAGAAGACACAACACAACCTTGGGTGTTCTCTGCCAGCAAAGTATAATGACCAGCATCGTTGATGTTGGCTTTCTTAACACGCAAAGTGGCTGTACCGCTCGAGTATGAGATGTCATACTTATTGGATTGAACCAAACGTTGTCCATTGTGGAACCAAGTCAAACGTGGCTTGGGATTGGAGCCAACCTTTGCGGCGAACACAGCATCAGAACCCTCAATCAGTTTAGAGTTGCGAGGTTTCTGGGCAATTTGTGGGGCATGAGCTGGTCCCATAGAGCGATCCAATTCTTGGCATAAATAGTAGTCCTGTTCGTAAGTCGAACGACGTGTAATGGCCTCTCTATAGGATACTTCACGCAAAAGTCTATACTCAAAGGTATCCACACGGAACTCTTCCTTGGTGGAGGAGAACGAATAACCATTGGCGAAAATGGACTTGTCCATTTGTTTCTGAATGGGTTGGATGGTAGGCATGGGTGCGCCTTCTGGTTGAATATAAACACTGCAAATGGCTTCACCATATTGATTGCGAGCCGTACAAGTGTATTCACCCTCATCGCCAGGTCCAATTTGATTGATGAGCAGCGATACCTCACCGGTGGCTTCATTATAGCTCATGCGGAACTTTTGAGACTCGAGAAGTGGTGCGCCTTTTCGGGTCCATGTTACGAATGGCTTAGGATTGCCACGAAGTTTGCCTTCGAACAAGGCATTGCCGCCTTGAGCGAAACGGGCATTCTTGAAAATTTGTTCGAATACGGGTGGTGAGATGTCGCCCTGAGCATAGATGTGTGTCAAAGCTGGTTGTACATAACCGCCGCCATGTTGTTCCACTGTAAACAAAAAAAAATTGGATAAAGATAAAAGTTAGAATTTGCTTAAGAAAATTCCTAAAAAGAAATATGAGTATGAGATAATTTCGAAACAGCTGTTTATAATAATCTATGAGCTAAGTACATGCGCACTTTATTCAAAATTGCTCTCTTGATCTGCGAAGATTTTCCTTTCGCTGTATAACAGTTTTTGTGTTCATTATAAGAGTTTTTCTTTTATATCGCTGTATGAGTAATTGCAAATGTCAGTATTTTGGTTTCTGTTTCTTTTTTCTAATTCCCAGCGAGGAAATTCTTGACTAAAATTAATGTTGTACTTTATTTGTGTACAATTCTTTAGATCTTCCGATAATAATCTGTTTTTGGCACTGCTGTTTAATAAGTGGCCTTAAGATTATTATACTTATATTGTTGGTACTTTTTTTCGTTTTTGATGTTTAGCATTTCGTATTGTTTTTGCCAATTGCTTTGACGTATAATTGTGTGATATTTACTCTTGGAATTATGAGGGATTTTGTTTTCTTTTTCTAAAGATCGTTGCTTTTAAACTTGCTAATTTAAGTGACTGATTGCAATTTTGTTTTTTTTTTTTTTGGTTAATTTGAAAATAATAGATAAAATTTCCAGGTCATTATCTTGATAATCCATCTTATCTGTTAGTGATAGAGATAAAATTGTTTTCTCTTGGGGAATAAATACATTGTTTCTGTTATAAGTGAAGAATATATTAAAATTTCGCTGGAGAAAGTGATTTTAATTTGGTTTATAAATTCCAATAGATCTTAAACAATATATGTATAAGAAAACTGGGCCAAATTGTGGCATTCGAAACCTGAATAGATTAAAAATTTCTATCACTTTCGAATGCCCGATTTTGGACCCTGATTTTTTAACTTTTCTTGTTAGATTTTCCATTTGTCTTCATTGTAGTGATTATGAACCCAATATTTATACGGAATTAATAAGATTGTTGAAAAATACTCGAATATCTTGCAGTCTTAGACTTATTATATCAAGCGATTTTTAGTTTTTAAAGATTAGTGAAACTTTTAATATTTTTAATGAAATTTGAATCGGGTTTTCTATTACTGGAGTAAAATGGGTCATTTAATAAAAAGCATATTAACAATATAATATTATATTAAAAATTTGTAAATTAAATGTGGATTCTTAAAAAATATTGAGGATTTAAAGAATAAGATTCGGCAGGGGTAAATATGGGCCTTTGTCGAATCGTATATTTTAATTTATTTAATTTTTCCTACTCTTCCATTACTTTAGCAGAAGATTGATTTCAACAGACACACAGACGGACAGACAGACAGACAGACTGACAGACAGACAGACAGACAGACAGACAGACAGACAGACAGACAGACAGACAGACAGACAGACAGACAGACAGACAGACAGACAGACATAGTTTGATCGGTTTAATCACCTTCTTAGACACACAGACGGACATAGATTAATCGGTTTAATCACTATAAAATAACTATAAATTAATACTAAAAATTATTTTCCCATTAATTTAGAGATTCTACTGATTTTTCTAAATCAGAAATACTATAATATATTTTGATTTTTTTATTTCCAAGTTTAAATAATTTTCCAATATTTTAGAAATTTGTAAGTTTAGTAGAACGAATGTAATTATTCGATAAATGTACATATTTCAGTGTTACAGGTTTTTTTTATTATTTATGGTCCTTCGAGTCTTAATATTTATAACCACCTTTTTATTTTATTACTACTTTAGTAAATAGTTTGAAAAGAAGATATATGTTACATCCTAAAAAAATACATCTAGACCTCCATCGAACCTATTGTGAGCTCCTTTACCTATGTCTCCGGTGAGAATCGAACCCACCATTTGCGGTCTAACAGACTACAACACTAACTGTTAAGCTATTAGAGCCACAACTTACTAAAGGTTTACTGCCTTATTCATAAATATTTATCAAAGATTTATAGAACAAATTCTGTATGAAAATTTTATTTATAAACCTTTGAAAAAATTTTATAAATAAGACCCTTATAGAATGAAATTTCCATAAAAAATTGATTTTGAATAAAGACTTCAAATTTGTAACCATATTTTATACAAATTTTGTTAAAGATTAATAGATGTTTAAGGTTGATGTGAAACTTTAGTAAATTATACTTCAGCATCTTTAATCTCTTTGATCCAAGTTTTGAAGTAAAAAAGCCTTCGTACTATACGATTTTATAGCAATATTTTCGTATTCGACCTAAAATATATATGTAAAGTTGTTGAAGGCAGTTTTTATCTCACTACCGATTTATCAATTTCGAATCGAATTTAAATAAAAAAATTTCGATTGATATATAATGTTCCCCCGTTTTATATTCCATTAAATTTATATACCTATAGACACCAAAACTGATCCGAACCACTTTCTAAATCATTGGCGATCTTTGTCTTATGATTAAATTTGTTAAAAGTTTTGATATTAAAGAGTTACTTTCCATATTGAAAAGAAATTTCATTCGTGAAATCAAATTAAAATGTGATGGGACCATATCACCCGAATTCATTGTGAAAAGATCTTTTGTATAGAAAATTAATTTGATTTTGATGTTAAGTAAAAATAAACTAGATTTCTTATTTAATATTAAATCTCAAACAAAATTTTTTCTCGATCATGAATACGTTTATATAGGGACCGGACCCCTTAACTTTAAGAAGTTCTTTATTGAATGCTATCATCTCAAAGAAGAACTTCGCGAACAATATTACCCGATCGAGAATATCTAGTTGAGAATTAGGTACTTGATCTCTAACAAAAACTATTTTCTTTAATTAAATGTTAAAATTATGATCGTTTCCAACGAAAAGCTTAGTACTTCATTCTTATTTCTTATGATCATTTAGTTCGATTGGTCTCTTCTTCTTCTTCTTTTAAACTTTCCTATTATATCCTAATAGTAGTTTTGAATACCATTGACAAATTCAATTGGATTTGATGATAATTAGGAATAAATGTTCTAAATTTAAAGAGTCCTTTATTTGTCATAAAGCTTATTTGTAAAAGCTCTTATTTTGAAATCTAATGGGTTTTAAACTAATTATGAGTTTCCGCTCTGACTATGTAGACAGAATCGTTTTCGGAAAACTATACTAAGGCAGATACTAAAATTTTATCCAATTCATTATGAGAAAATTTAAAAAAATCTTTTTTTAACTATTTTTTTAAATTTTTAATAAATTAAATTAAAAATTTTGATTTATTAATAAAAAGAATTTTTAATTAAATAATAATAGTTTAATAATAAATTTTTAAAATTCAAATTAAGTTTTTAAAAAGTTTAATTTTTTAATGAAATTTTTATTATTCTTTAGATTTATTAATTGAATATTTTTCAGGCTCGAGCTGAATAAAAATTATTCCCAAGTGGGACTCGAACTCAAGCCAGTAGAATATTTAATTAATAATATTATTCCACAGATCGGAAAAAATCCAAAAAACTTAATATATATTTTAATGTTTTTGTAATAAACTTTAAAATTATTTTTTCCAAAAAAAATTTTAAAAATATTTTAATTTTTTAATAATTTTAAATTTATTTTTAATAAATTTTTTTATAAATTTTTTTTTTTACAATAAAAAAACAAATAATAGGTCTGTTCGATCACAAAAAATTTTTTTTTTGTTAATTTTAAAAAATTAAAAAAAAAATTATTTCAAATTTCTATTGAAAAACAAAAACAATTTGTTATAATTGGTTTAAATTTTTGTTTGTTTTAAAATTTTTCATAATTTTCTCGATTTTCTCATCAAAATATTATTATTTATCTATCCATGATGTATCTGCTATATTAGTCATAATTTATTTTTATAGTTTACATTATATTTAACCTCAATTTAATTGGGTCAATGAAAAGAAATAAAGAAGAAAAAAAATCAAATTCAAATCCTTTTCATAAGCATTTCCGGTTTACTAACACACAGGAAATGAGAAAAAAAATCACAAAAGAGTAAACAGGAAATAATAACGGAGAGCAAAGCAACAATATTAAGGATCAAAGATTTAATGATTGCTGAGAGAATGTTTGTGGAATGATTTCGTGAGCAGATAACTGACCTCTTTGTTGGGTGGTTACTTGACTCCTTTGAACATGATGATGTTCACTGCGGCTTATGGTTTGTTGTTGATGCATTTCTTGATGCTGTTGATGCATGAATTGTTGTTCATGATGTTGTTGCAGCTGTTGTTGTTGTTGTTGCTGCTGGTACATTTGTTGTTGTTGTGGATTCGGATTTTGTCGTTGCATATTTTTCTTTATTTTAATTCGTTATATAACACATAAAAAATAACAAAACAAAATTCAAAAACAAACACGCTAAAAGGCGTGTGTTTTATATGTTGCACTTTTAAAGCTGCTTTTATGACTTTTTGTTGTTGTTTTTTTTTTTAAATTAAATATTTTATTTTTTTAAATTTAGCTTTTTTTTCTAAATACTTTTTTCTCTTTGATTAAAGATATAAAACTTCGTTAAATGGGCTAGGAAATGAAAAAAAGGGAAAAAAGGAAATATAGAAATATTTTAAGAATTTTTTTTTATAAAGGAATTTTCTAGATTTTTTTCTTGTATATAGAACACACACACACTTGATTTTTTTAACACACACTCTTGTCTTTTTATATTAATTATAAATGAAATAGCTTATTAAGTAGTAGAAAAAAACTTTTTATGATTTTGAAATTTTTTTTTTAAATTTTTCCTCCACTATATGTAGCTTTTCTTTCTATTTTTATAAAAATGTTTTAATATTGTATTAAATTGTCTGCTATCCTTGTTTATTCCATAAGAGTCTTAGGCATTTTCTATCTCTTTTGCGCGCAAAAATTTTCTTCTTTTATTCACCGCACTAACACCAGTCACCATTCACCACTTGGTTGGTAGGTTGGTGGTGGCTTCTTAATTTTCAAAATCTATTTTTAATTTATTTGAAATCTTTTTTTTTCGTTTCTCTTATTCTTGTGTTTCTTTTTTTCGTTTTTCTATATAGAAATTGAATTTTTTGTTTAAATGTATTTGTATAAATTTTCTTTCCACTTTAATGTTAGATATGTTCAGTTTTATGTTGTCGTTATATATATATCAATAATATATATTATACAAAAATTTTCTTCTTTTTCCTATGATTAATCCACTGAATCACTCATTTTATTAAAATTTTTATTTCAAAAAAAAAAAAAAAAAAAAAATATTTTGATCGCTTTATGATTATATATTTCTGATTCCTATTAGCCTTGTTAAATTATGCTTAATCCTGGTTTTAGCATTCATTAAACAAGGATAATAAAAAAATCCTTTTATATAAACAATTTATTTTCATTTATTTTCTTTAGCTTATAACCGTTATTTTATTACCGTTAACCGTTAACCGCTTAACCGTTCCGTTTCGTTAACGTTTGATCGTTTTTATTTCGCAGTCAAAAAAAAAAAAAGAAAATTCTTTTTATAGATTTTCAGCAAGAAAAATTTTGTTCTTCTTTTCTTTACTTGTTACGAAATCAATTTTTCTTTTGAAAATTTTCAAATTTCTTTATTTTATCCTTTTACCAAAAAAACACTCACTTTTCGTTGTAAAATATATATTTTCATAAAAAAAATTATTTCCTTTTTTTTCAAAAACTTTAATTTTCTTCTTTCACTTTAGTATAAAAATAACTCTATGTATACTTTAAATTTCTTCTTTTTTTTCTTCAATATAATTCTTTCTATATATATAATATTTTCTATATATATTATTTCAATAAGAATTGGTTCAAGTCATAATCCCCGAGACTGAAACCAAGACGTCGATCGTTTTTGAGGTGCGAGCGAAGAATGCCACAAAATTTTTCTACAATTCCTCTTGTAGCTCATTTATTTTTCAACGATCTTTTGCGAGAGCATTTCAGGCGTGTGCTTTTTTTAAATCGTTTTAAATCGTTTCTATTCGTTAGCATATTTTTCGTAGAGTTTAACACATGTGTTTGTTGTTGAGATATTATGTGTGAAAAATTTTTCTCTGAAAAGTCAAATGACTGGGTAGAAATTGTTGCAAGTAATAAAATTCCTCCTACAAAGAATATATAGTCAAATGAAATCATCCTCTGCATCAGTTTAAGCAGTTTAAGGGGGTAGTTAAAAAGTGGGATATTTTTTGAATTGTTAGTCATAATTGTTGAATGACATACATTGCCCCCATAATATGTAGAGAAATGCAGTTTCTATACAATATTTCATTTTTATAATAATTTCATTTAATGGATATTTTTTAGATATATAATTATTTCGATATTCCTTACTTAGTTGCTTTAATGGATTTCATTATCTTTATTTCCTAATTGACTAATAAAACTTTTTATACGATATCATTATTAATTTAATAATTTAGTAATAAACCATACAGAATATTTGGCGGGCATTAGATTAGTTAAAGTTAGTTTGATAGGAGGAAATATGCTTTATATCCACTTAAAATTTGGAGTAAGGATTTCACCGCGTGTCAAATTGCATCAAATTATCCTGAAAACCGAACAAATTTTAGAGGGACACACAGAGACAGACGGACGGAGGGACAGACGGACAGACAGACAAACGGACGGATAGACGGACAAACAGACAAACGGACGGATAGACGGCAGACAGACAGACAGACAGATAGACAGACAGCAGACTGAGAGACAGATAGTAGTAGATAGATAGATAGATAGATAGATAGGATAAAAGATAGATAGATAGAAGATAGATATAGATAGATAGATAGATAGATAGATAGATAAGATAGATAGAATAGATAGATAGATAGATAGATAGATAGATAGATAGATAGATAGATAGATAGATAGATAGATAGATAGATAGATAGATAGATAGATAGATAGATAGATAGATAGATAGATAGATAGATAGATAGATAGATAGATAGATAGATAGATAGATAGATAGATAGATAGATAGATAGATAGATAGATAGATAGATAGATAGATAGATAGATAGATAGATAGATAGATAGATAGATAGATAGATAGATAGATAGATAGATAGATAGATAGATAGATAGATAGATAGATAGATAGATAGATAGATAGATAGATAGATAGATAGATAGATAGATAGATAGATAGATAGATAGATAGATAGATAGATAGATAGATAGATAGATAGATAGATAGATAGATAGATAGATAGATAGATAGATAGATAGATAGATAGATAGATAGATAGATAGATAGATAGATAGATAGATAGATAGATAGATAGATAGATAGATAGATAGATAGATAGATAGATAGATAGATAGATAGATAGATAGATAGATAGATAGATAGATAGATAGATAGATAGATAGATAGATAGATAGACTACAGACTATAGACTACTCTATAAACTAGACTTTAGACTACACTAGACTACTCTATAGACTAGACTTTAGACTAGACTATAGACTAGACTATAGACTAGACTATAGACTAGACTATAGACTAGACTTTAGACTAGACTATAGACTAGACTATAGACTAGACTATAAACTAGACTATAGACTAGACTATAGACTAGACTATAGACTAGACTATAGACTTGACTATAGACTAGACTATAGACTAGACTATAGACTAGACTATAGACTAGACTATAGACTAGAGTATAGACTAGAGTATAGACTATAGACTAGACTATAGACTAGACTATAGACTAGACTATAGACTAGACTATAGACTAGACTATAGACTAGACTATAGACTAGACTATAGACTAGACTATAGACTAGACTATAGACTAGACTATAGACTAGACTAGACTATAGACTAGAGGACTATACGACTAGACTAGGACTATAGACGAGACTATAGACTAGACTATAGACTAGACTCTAGAATAGGACTAGCTATAGCTAGACTATAGACTAGACTCATAGACTAGCTTACTATAGACTAGACTATAGGACTAGACTATAGACTAGGACTATAGACTAGACTATAGACTAGACTATAGACTAGACTATAGACTAGACTATAGACTAGACTATAGACTAGACTATAGACTAGACTATAGACTAGACTATAGACTAGACTATAGACTAGACTATAGACTAGACTATAGACTAGACTATAGACTAGAGACTATAGACTAGACTATAGACTAGACTATAGGACTAGACTATAGACTAGACTAGACTAGACTATAGACTAGACTATAGACTAGACTATAGACTAGACTATAGACTTAGACTAGACTATAGACTATACTACAGACTACACTTTAGACTAGACTGTAGACTAGACTATAGACTAGACAATAGACTGGACTATAGAATGGACTATCTCAAGGAGTCACATTTCCTTAATAGAAATCTAACTCAGAGATAAACATTTTCTTTATTAAAAATTTGTCTAAAAGAGAGAGAGAGAGAGATAAAATTTACTCAAATTACTAATTTTCTTTATAAAAAAAAATTGTCTTAAAGTGCCAAGTTTTCTTCATAGAGAAATTTCCACAAAGAGACACATTTTCTTTACATAATATTAGTCTCAAAGGGAGCGTTTTCTTCATAGAAATTATGTGTCAAGTGCACACTTTTACTTCTTAGACATTTTTTTCAAAAGTAGAAGTAGATTATCTTCATAAAGAAACTGTCTGAGAGATATATGTATTTTTTTTACGGAAAATGTATTTCTAGCAGACACATTTTTTTATAGAAATTCTGCCTCAAATAGACATAATATCTTTGTAGCAAATCTGTCTAAAAGAGACACATTTCTTTTTATATCAAAGTTATCTCAAAGAGACCCATCTTCTTTATAGAAAATATTTCTCATTTTGTATTTAGTCCCAGGAAAACATTCCGATATAATGTTTAAACAACAAGCAATCTTTCTATATCTATAAATGATATCAGAAAATCTATATATTTTGCAATCGAACATCTTATTCCATCATCGTCACATCATTTTGCCTTTGTCTTTTCATTCATATCGAGAGCATTTCAAATCTTACTCATTTCAAATAGTTTTCAAAATAATATTGTCATCATTACTAAACTCTTTTGCGCTCTTATTCACTCTCCTGCAGTAGCATTCACTCTAAAAAAATATTGAAAAAACCCACACGATTTTTTTTTACATCGTATAGCACTCGTACAGGATTCGGCTGTGAGTTGGTAACTAAAAATAAATGTTGATTTATTTTTGACACGTATTTTTCAACATTGCACAGAATAGAAAAGATACAAAAAAATTTTTTTTTTTTTTGAAAATAAGAAATAAAATTTTAAATAAAATAAAAGAAGAAAACACTGTGTATAGTTTGTTTGAAAAGGAAAATATAACAGTGGGAACTGAATAAAGGAAATATTGGGGGGGTAAAAATTATTTGTAAACGAAGGTTGAAGGAGTTAAATTAAGATAAATTTACTATAAAGGGAGTAGGTTTAATTGAGAGAAAATTTCTTTAAAGAAAGTGTGTTTAATTGAGCCGAAATTTCTCTAAATAATATGAGTTTCTAGGAGAACATTTTTCTATAAAGAAAATGTATATCATTGAGCATAATTTTCTTTAACGAAATCGTGTCTCTTTGAGAGAAATTTTTTATAAAGACAATGTGCCGTTTTGTGACAAACTTTGTTTCAAGACATTATGTTCCTTCGATGAACATTTTCTATAAAGAAAATGTATCTCTTTGAGAAAAGTGTTGTATAAAGAATAGGTGTCTCTTTCAGGGAAGTTTTGTGTAAAGAAAATGTGTCTCTTTGAAACTAATTTTCTATTGAGAGAGTGTGTTTTTTGAGATACATTTTCTATGAGGAAAATTTGTCTTTTTGAGACAAATTTTCGGGACAAATTTTCTAAAAAGAAATGTGTCTCTTTGGGACAAATTTTCTAAAAAGAAAATGTGTCTCTTTGGGACAAATTTTCTATGAAAAAGTGTGTCTCTTTGGCACAAATTATCTATGAAGAAAATGTCTCTCTTTGGAACAAATTTCTTTAAAGAAAATGTGTCTCTTTGAAACAAACTTTCTATGAAGAAAATATGTCTCTTTGGGATACATTTTCTATGAAGAAAATGTGTTTCTTTGGAACAAATTTTCTATGAAGAAAATATGTCTCTTCGGGACAAATTTTCTTCGAATAAAATATGTCTCTTTGGGATAAATTTTCTTAGAAGAAAATGTGTCTCTGTGGAACAAAATTTCTTCGAATAAAATGTGTCTCTTTGGAACAAATTTCTTTGAAGAAAAAGTGTCTCTTTGAAACAAACTTTCTATGAAGAAAATATGTCTCTTTGGGTTACATTTTCTATGAAGAAAATATGTCTCTTTGGAACAAATTTTCTATGAAGAAAATATGTCTCTTCGGGACAAATTTTCTTAGAAGAAAATGTGTCTCTGTGGAACAAATTTTCTTCGAATAAAATGTGTCTTTTTGGGATAAATTTTCTATGAAGAAAAGGTGTCTCTTTGGAACAAATTTTCTATGAAGAAAATATGTCTCTTCGGGACAAATTTTCTAAGAAGAAATGTGCCTCTTTGGGACAAATATTCTATGAAGAAAATGTGTCACTTTGGGACAAGTTTTTTAATAAGAAAATGTGTTTCTTTGATACAAACTTTCTATAATGAAAATATGTCTCTTTGGAATAAATTTTCTATTTCTTTGAGACAAATTTTTTAAGAAGTAAATGTGTCTTTAAGAGACAAATTTTCTTTGAAGAAAATATTTGTCTTTGGGACGAATTTTTAAGAAGTAAATGTGTCTCTTTGGAACAAATTTTCTATGAAGAAAATGTTTCTCTTTGGGACAAATTTTTTTAGAAGAAATTGCGTCTCTTTGGCACAAACTTTTTGAGAAGAAAATGTATCTCTTTGGGACAAATT